ACTGTATTTAAAGGGCCAGAAGGTTGAGAACCCCTGGCCTAGAGCTCCCTGCAAAGACCTTTGGGCACCCCTGTTTTCATGGAATTGGGGGGCAGCTTGGCCCCGGTTATAGCTGGCAGAGAGGCGATGTTTTGCTCAAGGTCACACACACAGGGGCATCTTTGAGGTTCGCACCCACGACCAAACTTTCTGCTCTCCCCGGGGTTCCCCCCTCACTCCCCAGTCCTCATTCTTCTCCAAACTGTGGCCGGGCCCCCAAACCCACCCAGCCCCCCGACACATTTCCTTCCCACTGCTTCCCACCCACGCTTCTTGCCTCCTACTTTTTCTGCTCCTCGCTGCCACCCCCGTCTCGTGGAAATCAAACTCCCTGAGTTACGGGTGGGTAGGGGGTATGAAGACAATATTTTGCCGGTGCCATTCAAAAGGCTTGCCAGCCTTGTGCATTTCATAGACTTTTATTTCCAGGGGATCTTTGTCCTTGCCACTTGGGTGGGTGGGGGGCGGCGGTGTTGGTGTTGGGGAGACCCGGGGGAGGTCGAGGGCTCCCTCGGATTTGGGGAAAGGGGCGAGCTCCTGGGGTCCCTTTTCAAAGGCCCTCCCTCATTTCCGGCCGCCGCTGCCAGCCTTGGCTGGGCGCCTGGATCCTGTTGCTATGACGACAGGAAGAGGCGGTGGCGGCGGCAAGCGATGCTGTGGAGAGATGGAGGCTAGTGGGGGTGGGGGTGGTGGCTTCGAATTGGGGATGGGGGTAGGGACCAGGGGCCGGGGGTGCAGGCCGGGCGGGGGGCAGGGGTGCCCTTTCTCTCTGACCTCCTCCGCGGCTCCCAGCCTGGCCCCTCGCCCCTCTCCCTCCACCTTCCTTCCGACGCCTCCTCCTCGGTCTCTATGTCTGCGTCTCGGGTCCCCGGGTCTCTCTCTGGCCCAGTCACAGCCTCTCTCCATCTGCCTCCCTCTCTGGGTCCCTCTCTTTCCTTCTACACCTGCCTTTCTGTCTCCAGGCAAGACCTCAATCCCCTAAATTTCTCCCATTCATCCTCTCTCTCTCTCTCCCTCTCTCTCTCTCTCCTTCTTTTCTCTCTGTTAAGACCTTGCCCTCACCCCAATCCCCCCCCCCCGCATTTCTCTCTCCCCCATCCCCTCTGTCTCTCCCTGTCTCTCCCATCTGTCTCTCCTCCCCCTCTCTGGATGACTCTCTCTCTGTCTCTTCTTCCCTTCTGTTCCGCAGACCCTGCCCCCCATCCTCTCCTTCACCCCAACCCCCCCTCCCTCCCGCACCTTCCCCCATCTCTTGGGTTCCCTCTTTGGGTCTCTATCTCTGTCCCCTTCTTTCTCTGGATATTTCTCTCTCTGTGTGTATGTGTGTCTCTCTCTCTCCAACTTCCTTCTGCCACCAGCCACTGCCTCCCCCAAATCCCTCCCTCCCCCATTCCTGTTTCCCCGTTTCCAAGTCTCTCTCTTTGCCGCTTCTCTTCTCGCTCCCTCCCTCCCTCTCTCTCTCCAGGTCTCCTCTCTCTTTCCCCCCAGCTTCCTTCTGCCACCCAGACCCTGCCCCCCAATCGTTCCCTCCCCCACCTCCTCCCCGAGGCTCCCCATCCTCAGCGGCCCCCCTCCCTCTCCTCCCGCCTCCCTCCCTCTCTCGTCCTCCAGCTCCGCACTTTACCCAGCGACACACGAGAACCAAATTGTCTCCTCACCTTTTTTCCCCCCCATCTCGAGCGCTCGACCCCCCCCCCGCCCTCGCTGCCTGGGGTCCGAGCTCAGAGCTGCCCCTCGGCCTCCCCCTACCCACCTCAACACCCCCTTTGCCCTACACCCCCTCATCGCCACCCCCGGCCAGGTCGGACGCCTGGGTCCCTGGCTGCTGGGGGAGGGCGAGCCGTGAGAACTGGGAGCCACGGGGGTGTCTCTGGGGGGGTGCCCACAGGACGGGGCTCAGCGTCCCCCCCTCAGTGCTCCGGCGAGTGGACCTGTCGCCAACCGAGGTGAGCCGGATCCGTCTCTTCATCGGAGGTGGGTGGATGTGGCAGGAAGGTCCCCCAAACCCCCTCATCCTGGAGGAAGGAGCTGGCCCCCTTCAGAGGGAGAGAGGAGGTGGCCCCCCTGTCGTATCCGGAAGCTTTAGAATGGGGGTCCCCTGCTCCCTCCTCCTCGGCTGCCGCCGGCAGATGGACTAAAGGAACAGTCCCTCAAGCCAAACAGATCGCCCCCCTGAACCGATACAAGGAAATGTCTTCAGCTCTTTTTTGGATGGAGGATGTCCCTCATGTACCCCGTTCCCCTCCCCTCCTGGTCCCGGGTCGTAGGGGGCCCAGCAGCAGGAGGGGTACATCCTGGGGGCACGGGCTCCCCCAGGTGGGAGCAGAAATGTGCCTGGACAGTGGCGGTGGCGGTGCCGGCCGGCCATGCCGGGCCCGGATGGGGGACATGAGGCCCAGGGACCAGAGGAGAGGGACTGGGCATCTGCCTGGAGAGGAAGGAGAGGAGGGGGCAGCACCTGGGACAGGGGGCCGGGGGGTGTCCCAGCCCAGTGCCCCGTGAACGGGCAGGCCAGGGGCTGCGTGTGGGCAGGCAGAGCCGGGGTGGGGGAGGGAACACGTGTGTGTGGGGGTCACTGGGCCCGGTTGCCATGGAGACACCCCCCATAGACAAGCTTTCTCGGCAACCCCTGGGAGCAGACCCGGTGGGGGCCGGCCGCTGCGGGTGTTGGAGGCCAAGGTCACGGGGCACCGGACCCGGGGTGGCTTTCCCCTCCTCTGTGGCCTCCAGGCTGTCAACTCCAGGAGGGGCTTGGGAAGGGAGTCCGGGGAGGAGGGAGTGGTGGAGGCAGGTAAGGGACGCTGGCCCAGCGAGAGGGAGGCCAGGGCCAGGTGGAGGAGGCAGGGCTGGGGGCGTGGTGGAGGGGACCCTGGGGGTGGGGGGCGGGAGGGGGACATCATTCCTAGCTGAGGGAGAGTTGGGGTCCTGGACATCAAATTCTTCCCAGGGGCACTGTCCACGGAGGGGCTCTGCTTAGATTTGGAAGAAAATGCGTGTGCAGTATATGGTCCTCACAGGTGACGGGTGGGGGGCTCTGGGGGTTCCCACGAAGGGAAGTCTGAAGGGACACGGAGGGGTTTCCCTGATAGAGGAGGTGCTGGGAGTAGAGTGGGTGGGAGAGGAAGGCCAGAGGGAAGGAGAGAGACTCTTCATGATGTCAGAGGAGGGCAGGGGGTGTGGGGAGGGCAGTTCTGGGAACTTGAGAGAGGGGGAGGTCCAGGGGAGTTGGGGCTATCTGGAGTTGGGGGTTCATCTCGTGCGATGTGATAACAAGGGCTACCCTGGGGTGGGGGTTGGAGGCGCTGGGAGGGGGTGGAAGGGCCGGGAATGGAGTGTGTGTGGGGGGGTGGGGGTGGGCCCTCCTTGGACAGCAGCAGGCGTGCAGGTCGGAGCTTGGGAGTTCTGAGTGGAGAGGAGTCTGGGGTCCGGAGGAAGGGAGTCCAGTGAGTGGACGCCGCCGCGGAGCTCACGGAGGAAATTTTTCTTAATGGAGAAGGCGGGCGCAATGGTCGTGAGGAGTTTGTCTGAGTTGTCGAGGTGGTGGGGGCCGGATGGCGAAGACTTTTTAAAAAGATATTTTAAACCTTTATTTCAGAGAGGAAGGGAGAGACAGAAACATCAATGATGAGAGAGAATCACGGACCGGCTGCCTCCTGCAGGCCCCACGCTGGGGATCGAGCCCACGACCCGGGCCTGTGCTCTGACCGGGAATCGAACCGTGGCCTCCTGGTTCACACAAAGGTCAACGCTCAACCACGGAGCCAGGCCGGGCTCGGAAGACTTCTTTAGCCAAGGAAAACATAATAGGGGGTGCAGGTGGTCCCAGGGACACAGTAGGAGCTGCTAGAAGGGATGTGGTGGGGATGGGGGCGTCCCCGTCAATCCGTGGGGCTGAGGTGGTGTTGACTGCCCATCAGAATCCCCTTGGAGAGCTGACATGCCCCAGCCTACTCCGGTGCAGACCAATCCAATCCCAGTTTCCCCCGTGGGACTCAGGCGTCAGCTCTCAGGGGTGCTCTGCTGGCCTGTCTGGGGTGCGTCATTAGAGGTTGGAAACCTTGGTCCAGAGAGGGGGGCGGTCTGTGTGGGAAAGGGGGTTCCCAGGTGGAGGGGCCTGCGTTCAGGGGGCCGGTGTCGGTGGTAACTGCATGATTCTTCTGAGTTGCACGCACGGCGAGAGTTCATGGGGAAGACTTGTCTGAAGCCGAGAACAGACTGAGAGGTTTATGTTTCGTGAGGAGAGGACGCGGGAGGTGCAGAGGGGGGACTGCGGGGAAGAGAGGACGTAGCTGTGTGAGACGGAGGAGGGTGCTGGGGGTCTAGGAGGGACGGAGGGAGGAGGAGGACGGGGTTCCTTGGGGTGAGGAGGCCTCCCCCCCCCCCCCCCCGGGCTGGGGTGAGGGATGCTTTGACCCAGGAGGACAGAGAGCAGAGGGGAGGGGCAGGACGAGGGTCCTGATGTCAGGATGGTGGGAAGACTTGCTTTTTTTTCCCCCCCCTTTTTTAATCCTCACCCGAGGATATTTCCCCCATTGACTTTAGAGAGAGTGGAAGAGAGAGAGAAAGACAGAGAAACACCGATGTGAGAGACACCCATGGACTGGTTGCCTCCTGCAGGCGCCCTGACCAGGCCCTGCAAGCGAGGCGTGTGCCCTTGACGGGAATCGAACCAGGGACCCTTCAGTCTGCAGGCGGAGGCTCTATCCACTGGGCCACACCGGCCAGGACGGCGGGGAAGGCTTTCCCTGGCAGAGCCCATGTCCTCACAGCCAGGGAGGCCGTGGGGACCTGGTGGGGACCTGATGGGGTGGTTTTGCAGGTGGAGGGCCAGGGGGCTCCCCCTAACCTTTCCTCTCGCTCCCTGCTCTCCCCCAGCTGCTGACCATGGCCGCCCTCTGACCCCTCCTGGCCCAGCCTCGTCCTCGCCGCTCCCCCCGCCCCCCACCAACCCCGCGCGGGGCCCAGGCCCCCCCTCTTCTGCCCGCGCCGTGAGCCCCCCCAGCCGCCGGCACGGCCCCGCCCCCGCTGCCCCGGTGGTGGCCCGCGGCCCCCCGGCTGCCCTCGGTCAAGCTGGAGTCGCTGAAGCGCTGGAACGAGGAGCGGGGCCTCTGGTGCGAGAAGGGGGTGCAGGTGCTGGTGACCACGGTGGGCGCCTTCGCCGCCTTCGGCCTCATGACCATCGCCATCAGCACCGACTACTGGCTGTACACGCGCGCCTTCATCTGCAACACCACCAACCTCACGGCGGGCGACGACGGGCCGCCCCACCGCGGCGCCCCCGCCGAGAAGAAGGACCCGGGGGGCCTCACGCACTCGGGCCTCTGGCGGATCTGCTGCCTGGAAGGTAGGCGGGGCCGCCGCGCCCCTCCCCGGAGCCCGCCCCTCGGCTCCCGGACCACCCAGGTGGTCTTCGTGGGTGGTCTGTCTTCGTGGGTGGTCCTGCCGCGGCGGCGGCGGCGGCGGCTGGTCCGCAGTCTGCCGGCCCTGCTATCCCTTCCCGTCCGGCCTTCCCACCCCTCTGCACCCCTGTGAACCCCCACCCACCGGGGTGCACCCTCATCGTATTCTCTCTCCCACATCCTGCCCCGCTCCTCTGAGCGCCCCTCTCCTGCCCCCGCTCACAGCCCCTGCTCATCTCCTCCATCCCTTCCCCCTTCAGCACCCCGACCTGTGCGCACGGCCCGCCCCTCTGATCTCGCCTGTCACTTTTCCTCTTTCTCTCTCTTTTTTAAAATTCTCTTTTAATTAATTAATATATATATATAAATATATACACACACATACATATATATATTTAAAATCACTAACTTTTTAAAAATATATTTTATTGATTTTTTACAGAGAGGAAGGGAGAGGGATAGAGAGTTAGAAACATCGATGAGAGAGAAACATCCATCAGCTGCCTCCTGCACACCCCGCCACTGGGGATGTGCCCACAACCAAGGTGCATGCCCTTGACTGGAATCGAACCCGGGACCCTTCAGTCCGCAGGCGGACGCTCTATCCACTGAGCCAAACCGGTTAGGGCTAAAAATATAGATTTTTATTGATTTTAGAGAGGAAGGGAGAGAGAGATAGAAACATCAATGATGAGAGATAATCATTGATGGGCGGCTTCCTGCACGCCCCCTACTGGGGATGGAGCCCACAACCCGGGCATGCGCCCCGACCAGGAATCGAACCTAGGGCCCTTCAGCCCCCAGGCCGATGCTCTATCCACAGAGCCACACCGGCTAGGGCTCTTTTAATTTTATTATTTTTTAAAATTTTGATTTCAGAGAGAGGAAGGGAGAGGGAGCTAGAAACATCAATGATTGATCAGCTGCCTCCTGCACGCCCCACACTGGGGGATCAAGCCCACAACCCACAACCCAGGCATGTGTCCTGACCGGGAATCGAACCTTAGCATGACCTCCTGGCTCATAGGTCAATGCTCAACCGCTGAGCCGTGCGGGCGGGCCCCTCCTCTCCTGGCCTGCCTCTCCCCACCGGGGTTTCTTACAGCCTCCCACCTGGTCCTGGTCCTCCCTGTCCCCCTCACCCCCCGCATGGCTCTGTTTCATTGTACCCCCCCTCCCCACTTCAAGCCTACCTTCTCCTCTTCCTCCTCCCAGACCTCATTTTTCTTCCAGCCCATGCACCGCCTCTTATCTCCATCTCTCCATCTCTGTTTCCCCCTCGGTCCTGCTCTCCCTCCCTCTCCAGGCTGCCCTCCTAGAGGTCCCTCTGCACCTGTCCTCACCACACAGCCCCCCCCCCCCACCCGTGTGACTATCTGTCCACCTCGGGGCTCACCTCGGGGCCTCACAGCCGGGCTTGTTGCAGCCGTGGGGTCCCTGTGAGATTCCTCCCCTTCTCTTTTCCGTCCCTTTCTCTTCTTCATCCCTTCCTCCTCTGGCTGAGCACTCGGGGTGAGCAGGGAATGTTGTCATCTGGTTTTGTCCTATGAGCTGGGCGCCACCCTCCTGTCGGGAATGAGGAAACTGAGGCTCAGAGAGGTTAAGTCACTTGGCCAAGGTCACCCAGCCACGGGTGGGACAGAGCCAAGAGAACTCAGGCCGGATGTGGGGGGGGGGGGGGAGGTGGTTGCAGATATGCGTGGTTTGGCATGTGGGGTGTTCAAAACAGAAACCAAAGTCTGAATCTGTGAACCCGTCGCCAACATTTAAAAACAGGGAGATTTCACATCGAAAAGCCAATTTCTGGCTTTTTTTGAACTCGCCGAAGACTGAGGTCACAGGGGTCTGCCTTGGTCACGGTGGGCCGGGTCTGAGTAGCAGCTGTTTCTTTGGCTGAGAACTGGGCAGGGCTGTGTGTGTGTGTGTGTGTGTGTGTGTGTGTGTGTGTGTGTGTGTGTTCTGTGTGTGTGTCTGCTTCGCCACAGTCACCTCCATTCGCTATTGCCTCACATCCTGTCAGGTTCTCTCATCAGGTAACTTTCTCCCTCTTGTGGGCATTTGACCTCAGGTTCACTCGCTCAGGGGTCTGACTGAGCAGCAGGCACAGAGCCAAGCGGGCGGTCTTGCATCCTGAAACCCCTGGGACAGCATAGGGTATAGAGTAAGAATGCCATTCATTCATTCATTCATTCATTCATTCAACAACTGGTATTTCTTGAGTTTATACTATATGCCAGGAACTATTCTTTTTTTTAATAAAAAGTAGTATTTACTTACTTACGTATTTATTTTAGAGAGAGGAAGGGGGAGAGAGAAACATCCATTTGTTGTCCCACTTATGTATTCATTGGTTGATTCCTGTATGTGTCCTGGCCGGGGATCGAACCCATAACCTTCTCATATTGGGAAGACACTCTAACCAACTGAGCTACCCAGTCAGGGCCACCAGAAACTATTTTTTTAAAATATATTTTTATTGATTTCAGAGAGGAAGGGAGAGAGAGATAAAAACATCAATGATAAGAGTCATTGTTCCACTGCCTCCTGCATGGCCCCCAAACTGGGGATCGAGCCTGCGACCTGGGCATGGGCCCTGACTGTGAATCGAACAAAAACCTCTTGGTTCATAGGTTGACGCTCAACCACTGAGCCACACTGGCTGGGCCTGACTTCCGTTTTAACAGGAGGGCTCTTTTTAAAAACTATATATTTTATTGATTTTTTACAGAGAGGAAGGGAGAGGAATAGAGAGTTAGAAATATCAATGAGAGAGAAACATCAATCAACTGCCTCCTGCACACCCCCCCCACTGGGGATGTGCCCACAACCAAGGTACATGCCCTTGGCCGGAATCGAACCTGGGACTCTTGAGTCCACAGGCTGACGCTCCATCCACTGAGCCAAACAGGTCAGGGCAGCCTGAGGGCTCTTGTTGCTGCGTTGGTCACTACGGGGAAGGTGGGAGGGACAGCAAGGGGTGGCGTGTCTGGGTGTAGCGTTGGAGCGTGGGCAGTGGTTTAATTCAGATCGGAGTCCGATGCTACAAGGGGCAGGAGTTCCTGGTGGGGGCGGTTGTGGGAGCTGAGAGAGGAGACTCAGGGTGTCTCTGAGGCTGTGTTTCTCAGCCTCGGAGCTGGTGACATGTGGGGAGAAATAATTCTGTGCCTTGGGGCCTTCCTGCATGTGGTGGCCTGGTTACCAGCAGCCTGGCCTCCGCCTTCCAAATGCCAGGAGCACCTCCCAGCTGTGACACCCACATTGTCAGCTGTCTCTGGACTAGGAGAACAGTGACCCTGGGTGAGCGTCACCGCTCTGAGGCCGTGGCCTGAGCACCCGAGAATGGGGGCGGGGAGGGCGAAGTGTGCGTGAGGTGAAGCAGCAGGTATTCTATTTTATTTCTTTTTTTAAAAATATATTTTATTGATTTTTTACTGAGAGGAAGGGAGAGAGATAGAGAGCTAGAAACATCGATGAGAGAGAAACATCGATCAGCTGCCTCCTGCACACCCCTTACTGGGGATGTGCCCGCAACCCAGGTACATGCCCTTGACCGGAATCGAACCTGGGACCTTTCAGTCCGCAGGCCGACGCTCTATCCACTGAGCCAAACTGGTTATGGCTTATTTTATGTCTTTTTGTTCCTGTCATCTAATTTGTTATAAGGAGGGTTATCATTTTTTCAAATCTTTATTGTTGAAAGTATTACATAGGTCCCTTTTCCCCCAATTGACACTCCCCCAGCCCCCCCCCCCAACCCTCCCCTACCCCAGGCCTTCACCACCCCCCTGTCCGTGTCCATGGACCATGCATAGATGCACACAAGGTCTTTAGTTAATTACCTCCCACCCACCCACCCTCCCCTGCCTTCCCTCTGAGATTCCGCACTCTGTTCCCTGCTTCCATGCCTCTGGGTCCACTCTGTTCATCGGCTTATTTTGTGACTTCGATTCCGCATCTGAGTGCGATCACGTGATGCTTGTCTTTCTCTGACTGGCTTACTTCACTTAGCGCGACACTCTCCAGGTCCCTAAGGAGGGTTATCACGATCTCAGTTTTGAACATGTTAAACTTAATTTAATTTATTATTTTAGAGAGAGAGAGAGAGACATTGATTTGTTGTTCCCCGTACTGAGGCACTCATTGGCTGCTCCTTGTATGTGCCCTGACCGGGGATCGAACCCGCAACCTTAGCCTGAGCAGCCCGGCCAGGGCTAGAACAGGTTACACTTAACCTGCCTATCAGAGCTCTCCTCTAGGACAGGGGCCAGCATTTGGAAAACCCTGTAGCGTTCCATACAGTCAGCATCTCAGGCTTCGTGGTGCGTCGTCTCTGTCTCAACCACCCCTGGAAGCAACCAGAGACGACACGTGAGCGAATGGCCCGGAGCTGCGATCTAATGGAGCCACTTCGGACACTGACCTCTGAACCCCAGAGCCTTCCCATGTGCCACATAGGACGACAGCGGAGAGTCGGGGCCGGAGACACAAACTGGGGGCCATGGCTTATGAACAGATAAACGGTCACCTAGAGAGAACGAGGAGAGACAGAAACCAAAACGTTAGTTGGACGGCTGCCACCTGAGCTCATCCAGAGCCCAGGCCAGTGTGGCTCAGTGGTTGAGCGTCAGCCCATGAACCAGGAGGTCACAGTTCGATTCCTGGTCAGGGCACAGGCCCGGGTTTCAGGCTCCATCCCCAGTGTGGGGCAAGCGGGAGGCAGCCGATCAATAATTTTCTCTGATCATTGATGTTACTGTCTCTCTCCTTCTTCCTTCTTCTCTGAAATCACTAAAAATATATTAAAAAAAAAAAAAAAAAAGGTGCCCTAACAGGTGTGGCTCAGTGGATAGAGCGTCAGCCTGGGGACTGAAGGGTCCCAGGTTCGATTCCTGTCAAGGGCATGTACCTTGGTTGCGGGCACATCCACAGTAGGGGATGTGCAGGA